AAACATGGCAATGGAGTATAAACAAAAGCTCATATGAGGAGTGAATTTTAGGGAAAAAAAGGCTACCAAAGCATACATACATATATTCCTTAAATTCAAGTCATTTAGCGGAATGACAATTACACAACAACAAACGAGCGCACAATGAAAAATGTATAAAATGATAGGAAAATGTTGCTGAGGGAAGTGGAAGCAAGTCAAGAGTAGTCAAAGACAGTCAGGACAAGTCGGTAATAAGTCAACGTAATGTTTATGACTTTAATGTTTGCGGTGTTGCCAATGAGCAATGAAAGACGGCTGTTGCCACATGAGAGTGCTCGAGCGAAATTGCCCGAATGTGCCGGGGATGGCTGTTACATAAATGCGTTGTGCGTCCGTCCGACGTTGTACGGTTTCTGCAATATTCATTGTCATCTTCAAAAGCCACTTTCATTGTTTTTGCTACGCCTGCCAACCGCGATAAGAATTTATGATTTTGTTAATGTCTTTTTGGGCTTTTTTTTTGTAATTTCTTTTTGGGTGATTTTGAGTTTCTTGCTTATATTTAGTGCTTTTATTTTTTTTTTTTTTTTTTTTTTTTTTTTTTTTTTTTTTTTTTTTTTTTGTTACTGCCCATTTTTAATGTTGCCACATTTGTTTGCAAATTTGTGCATATTTAGGAATGTAAATGCAATTTTCACTGCTTGCCGCCACAAAGATAAGATATTTACGAGCGTTCATTGCGTTCCTCATAAGCTTTCGCGTTGGAAAATCTCATTTGCTGTATATAATTCTTGCTTAATGTGCTTGGTGTTGCAAATTTTTTATTTTTATTGCTCGCAATTGCCAAAGGGGGCAGAAAAACGAAAGTATGCACACACACATATACACCAAACACAATCGCATTCCCGTAGTGTGCCGCCACATTAGCGGCTTTGGCGCTGCCGGTTCTATGCCACATTGGGCAGAGAGCGAGAGAGAGACAGCGTACAATATTATTTTGGCTAATTTATGGTGCTATTATTTTTGCAAAGTGTTGAATGTAGCGGATATTCTTGAGGTTGCACATACAAATTGTTAAATATTATGAACGCATTGGACGTGTTTTCGGTAGGCAATTTTCTTTTTCGTTTGGAAGTACAAATTATGCGTCTTACGAATATTATTTAGTGAAAAGGGAAGAAAATTTAACGTGGGAAGGGTTTTTTTTTTACAAAAATTTAAAACCTCGATTTGTTGAAATTGTGTGCTCAGGTGGCACAAAGTCGTAATTCCTCCTCTTCGCTTTAAGAGTTTTTTCAGACTCTGAAGCTCATTGTACTCATGCAATTTGCCTTCCCTTTTCAATCTCGCTTCCTTCTATAACTCCCGGTGTCTCGATCGTAACGTCGTAAGTCCGCTCCACGGTATAAATTCGAAAGTGAGTGAACTTACAGGGTTGCATCAAGGATTTGGACAACTGATACAAAGAACCGATAAAGACAGAAGCAATACCTTCTTTGGTGGCAGTACGTCGAGCGCTTGGCATGCCGATCCACAGTTCCATAATATCAAGTTTTGATGAAAATTTTCCCTTAGTAGGAGTCCAAGTTTAGGGGACAACTCTTTGGCTGTATATTGTGGGTACAGCTTTTTTAGATCGATTCCTAAAAGATGTGCTTAGCTGTAGGTGAGTGCATATCTCGATAGCGATAAAACAATGGTCCGCGGTAATGTTTCGACTTCGGAGCGTAGGCACATCTATAACGATGAAAAAGCGTCTTCCGTCGATCAGAACAAACCGATTTGGTTGCAAGATTTTCGGTCTTGAGATTGAGATAGACTTTCTAGTATAGGAAAAGGTATTTTAAAAAACCATATTACAAGCCCTAGCAAAGTTGATTAGCCTCATCTGCCAAGCACACTTTGCTTTTCCTCACATTTAAATTGCCAAGCACAATTTTGACATCGAGGTCCTATTGTTCTTCTTTGTTCCAGCGTTATGCTGAAAACCCCGTAAATTATGACAAGGCGATCATTCAGCTGTCTTAAATACTGCACTCAGGGATAGAGAATCTCTATCACCTAATTCGCGCTCTCTTATATGGCCAGTGCAGTAAAAATCACGAAGGCCTTACTTCCTCCGCCCTTGTCCCTTTCATCGCATCTCTTGGAATTTGACTTTTCAGGCCGCAGCTATTCTCGCCCTTGAGTTCCCTCCGCACTGTTTACGAATACTTGTACTTCCTTTATGTCCACATCACTGTTCCCCATAAGCCAACCACAATGTGCAATTTTTTATACATTCTTTGGACATAATCTGCAAGTACAGACATACATTTCAACGTGTATATTTCCGAACATAACTTTTCGTCTTTATTACTTTTGAACTTATCTGATGCATAAACGCATGCATTACGCATTAAAGTGTTCTTCCCCTTTATGTGTTGTTTTTACTGTCGGTCACAAGTTTGCTCTTCTTTTCGAAAAGATTAATACTTGTATATGTACTTATACATACATACATGTTATATTGTCATTGTGCCCTCGATTTACTTTCGTTTTTATTACTTTAGTTTATCTTTATACTTTATGTCGTTAAATTCGTACATCACTTCTTACCGCTGACTCAGGATCAAGTCTTGCACTTTTCTGTATGTGCGGTGTAAATATTTATTGGAAATATCTCCACAATAGATGAACGAAATTTAGTTTTAATTTAATATTTATTTTAATTTCATGTGCAATTTTATTTTATTGTAATATGTGTTTATTTTAATATCAGTTTTATTTTCAATTTTAGTTTTAATTAAAATAATTTTTTTTAATTTTAATTAATAATAATATAATTAATTTTTATTTATATTTTTTTATTTTTATTTTATATTATTAGTTTTAACTATAATTTAATTTAATATTTATTTTTATTGAAGTGTGGTTAATTTCTATTGAAATATAAATTTTAGTTTAGTATTTATTTTAATTTTAACTTTTATTTAAAACTTAATTATACTATTAAACTTAATTTTAATTTTAGTTTATATAGCAATTTTTTTTCTAATTTTATTTTATTTTCATATTCTTTTTAAATAATTTTAAATATTTTTTTCTTTGTTTTACTTTTAGTTTTAATTTCAATTTCATATTTTTTAATTATAATTTTGTTTTTATTATTAATTTCTATTTTTATTGTAGTTTTAGCTTAGATTTAATTTTAAATTGATTTTTCATTTCAATTTTAATTTTAATTTTATTATTAATTTTCATTTTTATTTTTAATTTATTTTTAATTTAATTTTAATTTTGCTTAAAACTTTAAACAATTTATAATATTTTTATTTTTATTTATATTTATTTAGTAATTTTGATTTAGATTTTAATTTTAATTTAATTTTAATATTTCTTTCTTACTTTAGTTTTATTTTTAAATTTATTTTTTATTTTTATTTTTATTTTATTTTGGTTTTTTTTAATTTTTTTTAGTTTTTTTATCTAAGTTTTATTTAGGTTTTAATTTTGATTTTGAATATGACTGACTATTATTTAGATTAGATAAATTCATTTCAACCCTTCAAGTCTCCAAGCCTATATAGTGTCTTCCCCGCTGAATTACAGAGAGCTGGAGACTAAAGTAATTTTAATCCTAAAAGGGGACATAACGAGCCATGTTAGACCAACGGACTTTTGGTTTAATAGTCGTTTCTTTTTCCCTTTAAAATTCTTCTCTCAGGGAAGCAAAATGGCTGCTCTAAGGGCAAGTTTGCAGATACAGCCCTATATAATTTAGTTGGTTCATCGAAAAAAGACTTGCCTCGAGGGTGTATTCGCTTGGTATTTTTGACAACATTCTTCCTGAACTCGGGGTGGAGTCTCTCCAAGAAATAGGTATCCAAAAGCCAATAGTGAAATTTGTAGAATCTCTCATAAGGAACAGGATAATCTTCGCAGGGGCAAGCAGCGCCAGTATTACAAGAAACACAACAAGAAGCAACCCTCTAAGAAAAGTTTTATCACCACTACTGAATAGCATAGGTTACGGTATGGTGGCATACGGTTTTACCCTAACAGCGACAAACCCTACAAAATTGAAGCGGTCTGTTTTAAAATGATCTACTTATTGTGCACACATAGCGTGCTGTATATCAACCCAGAAAAACCCGGAATTATTCTATTAACCGCAATGCAAATCGCCTGTCTATAAGTCACTCTCTCTACCGAAATCAAATATATCGAGATAGACGATCTTAGACAGAAAACTCAACTGAACTCGAGCACGACAGAAAGGTTAAGGAAGGATATAACTACACTTTACGCTTGGGAAAGGCGATAGGAAAAAGGCCGAATATCTTGTACTAGATTTACACCAATTCTATTGCACAGCGTCACTGTATGGTGGTACTTTACCGGAGCACCGCTATCAACTCCCTCAAAAGCACTATTGAAAGTTGTGCGGTAAAGGACTCGCTAAAATTGTATATCTTGCAAAAGTGCCCAAAGAACTGGATTACACCACCTTCATTACGTGCTTAGATAGTTATTTTTACCAAAGAATCTCAAATAAAATTAAAAGGCAAACTTCAACTTCCTCAGTCAGTGAGCGAGACGGGTCAAAGCTCAATGATCTTAATCTCCGATGATCTTAATCAATATTTGCATGTAACTACCAGTCCACAGCAGCGCATTCCATGCAGAACTCTTAGCAATCATGGAAGCCACCGAGTGGTTGTATAAATCTACGGCAGCAGGTCACTCAGACTCAGTTTACTTGTTAAATTTTCATTTTTTGTTTTGGGTTTGGTCTCGATAGTGAGATTGAGAGGTATACGAGTATAAAGTAGACACTTGTTGAAACTTTCGGAAACTAAATTCACAACAAACCTGCCTCCAATAAAAATATATTTAATATTTTTTGGACGGATTTCGGCAAATGATTTTCTTGTAGTCTACTCACATATGTATATATATTAAAAGAAATGCATATAAGTCTAAGATCAAACTCAGCAAGATAATTTATTGATTTTTTCTTTTTTTCTTTCTTACAGCTGGACGCCAAGAGCAGCCCGCTAGCCTTGCTGGCGCAGACGTGCAGCGCAATCGGTGCGGACACCACAAACCCCAAACTGTTAGCTGCGAATATTGAAAAATCAACCAAATCAGCACTGAAATCGGGAAACATGGATGGACGTGATAAATCATCGCCGGTGAGCAGTCAATCATCCTCGGTATCAACCGGTTCCGTTGAGCACATCAAATCCAGCTTTAAGCCGTACGAGTCGAATAATAATCTAACCAATAACATAAACAACAACAATCATATGCGTGAAAGACTTGAAGCGGAAACGGAGCGTGCGACCAATTTGAGTACCGGCGGCGCGTCGGCGAACAGCTTAAATCTCATCGGCAATGGCGGCCGAGTGCGTACACCAAAGAGTAATGGCAGCGGTGGCATTATGCTATTGAATGGCCAACAGCATGCAGCGCAACAACTGCAGCAACAACACCAACACCAGCAGCAACAACAACAACAACAACAACGTTGTGATTCAAACCAAAGTGCCACCTCACAGCGTGATTCACCAGCGACCGGCATGAATGGCCTGCGAAAGAGTTCCCCCAATGGCTCCGCCGGCGCCGTTATAGACTTACAACAGCGCATTAGTAATAGCAGTAGTCCCCAACAGCGTGCGTCGTCCAAAGAATCGGCTACATTAAGTCATGCGACGAGCAGTACGCAGATGAGTCCCAGTGCTGCAGCGGCGGCAGCGGCGGCTGCCAGTCAATCGCGTCTACAATCTGCTACAGACTCAGCAATAGCAGCTGCCAAAGAGGCAAACTATGTGAAGGCGTTACATGCCGCTGCTGCAGCCGCAGGTGTGCCAACAACGAGCGCGGGCTCCCTATCGGGCAGTTCCAGTTATTACGCCGGCTACCCGGGCGCTAGTCCATCCAGTGGCTTGCCCTATCCCATGGACGTTATGACGGCGAGCGCGCTCATGTCACAACACCATCCGATGTTCAAAGCCGCCGCTTTGCATCCCTACTTGAATTACGCGCGCCTGAAGGGCATCGATCCCGCCACCATGATGACACCCAACATCTGTCGCGATCCCTACTGTACTGGTTGTCCATCATCACCACATTTTCTCAACAAAGCCGCCGGCCAACCATGCCCGGCGGGTTGCCCCCAATGTGAGGGCGGTGTCGGTAAAACGTCCGCGTTGGGCGGCGGGGGCTCGTCGGCAGCAGCTGCAGTCGCCGCTGCGGCAGCTTCATCATATCATGCGCAACTGGCTGCGCTAGCCGCCGCCTCACAAATGCCGTACGTCTGTTCGTGGATCAGCGCGGATGCGGCGTATTGTGGCAAGCGATTTGGCACATCCGATGAGCTGTTCCAACATTTGCGTACGCACACCGCATCGCTGCCCGATTCAGTGCTGAGCGCTGCCGCAGCAGGCGGTATACCACCCACGCATCCACTCTTTCAGCGCACCTACCCCACACCGCCGCTGAGTCCCTTGTCCGCCGCACGTTATCATCCCTATGGTAAACCGTCCATGCTACCGCCACCACTGGCCTCTGCGGCTGGCGCACTCGGCGGCTTACCCATGCCGCCACATCCGGCGCTAGCGCAATACTTTGCGCCTTACTCTCTGTATGGGCCGCCGCGCATGGGCTCGTCGCATCCATAGTAGGATGCGGTGGGCGGTAAAGCGCATGAGGCCTACAGAGCGCATTTCAAATAAGCGGACTCGATTTATTTGGTGAAAGCATATACAAATAAAAGAATATATATTTTTTAATATCTTCAGTCAATTTCGACATTGAATGTCCTCCCTCTGATGATTCCTGTATCCTGGCGATAAAATGAACTAATTGTGAGTGTAAGAAACGCGAATCATAGAATGCGTTAAGTGCTAGTGATGTAATATAATATACGTTTGTATGTATGTATCGCATGCAAATACTTGTACTGTTTGTAATTATAATACTATAATTAAATAATAATAATTAATATACAATATATATATGTATATGTATGTAATTATATAAAAGCATTTCAGCTCTCTTGCTAAATGCTATAATAAATATGAGAAATATGAGAGAAGAATTATTTATTTTATTAACTAAATAATTAAAATGTTTATCAAAAAAAAAAAATAAAAATAATAAAAAATGTATGTATGTATAATCCAAATATCACCCCGTACGCGAATGTCGCGTTGTTGTATATTTAAATGTGTAAATCACAAATGTAATAAAATTACAAATAAATATACTTTAAGGTTCAATTAAGTCGTCATCAAAGAAATAATAAAATCACGTCAAATACAAAAATCATTTAACCGAGTAACATTTTCTAACAGATGCCAATACGAAGGTGAGTTCAAGATTTACAAGTATCCTTGGTAGAATCATGTCCTTACTGCGCAACTGAATCAGCTCACAACGCCTTTAAATAAATCACATCATACCCTTCCAAAGTCAGATTGTAAAGTTTGATGAACATACCATCTAAACGTAAATAGAGTAAAGTAAAGTAGGGAACAGTTTGGCTGTCTTGCGACTCAGCTGCACCATCGCAATCTCAATATCCACCGATTGGTTAAAAAAATAAAATGCAGTTTGGTGGCCCGATCGAACGAGAGACGCGTCTGAAGGATAATCGAAAAATCCTACAGACCAGTGACAGTCCAGACTGCGAGGCTCATTTCGGAAGGTAAAGGTTACACTCGACTCTTACACTAAACAGCTACATTTTACCTCAGCAGGTCCTTTAAGTTACATTGAAAAGGAGAAGAAAAGAAAAATCAATGTTGGCGAAATGTGTATTAAAATCGTTAAGCAATGATCTAAAAGAGTCGTGTATTTCTAACTTTGTTCTTCACGAACGCCATGAAAGGGGTATAAGGTGTCTAGAGGATCTTAAAGGCGACAGTAAAGTCAAAATCACTACGCAGGAATAAGCTATTGATAACACTGCTCATAAATTTAGTTGAAAATAAAACTCCAAGCATCTCTCTACGACTATGAAGTGTAGTCAAATGAATCAGACTTAACCGGTATTGTAAGAAGGCCGGCTTTTAATCGGTAGACTAGTGCATGCTTACTAACATTCGGCTGGCCAGGATATGAGTACTGGTCTGACCAACATCAAAAGTTATAGAAAATTATTATTTTTAACTGTGGCAATGTAAAGCTTACGAGTGTATTTTTGACTTAAAATCGAAAGCTGCTTATAAAAAATTCCAAATTACAAGAGGACTACTTTTTTCCCCAGGAAAGTGTACCGGAGACCGATCAACCTGGAGAAATCACACATTCAGCTTTCTTCTTTTTACTGGAAATAACTTTTTTTACGGGAAGTGCGCCGTTCTATTTCTGAAAGTATACATTTACATGTTTTGGGCCAGCTAACATTTTGGATGATATGTCTAAATGTAGACTTTTGTTTCTTGGATACCATATTCGATTTACTCGAAGTATAAATGACACTTTCTTTAAGGAAAAGGGTTGGGATCGTGCGTAGATAGGTTGGGGTTTCAAGCAATTCTTATACTTCCGATTTGAGTGTGAATGAGCATAGCTTTACTGTAGAGATACAAGAGCAAACAGAAATCAACAATCTAGCGACTGGTCTCATGCTAATTAGTTAGTTGGTTTAACAGGTTGCTTGATCACGGAACTCTGGGCAAGCGCACTTAGATCTATTGCCCGTTGTGATGCCTACGGACGTAAGCTCTGCAAGGCAGGCGAACCCGTAATATCTGAGAACACGATAACGAACCACACTCAAAGCTGGGCGGTGATAGAGATAATGCTCCACCGATTCCCCCTCATCTATGTTACCGCAGCTGCGACAAAAATCGTTTTCAAAAAACAACTCATCTTTCTATCATGAGGTTTGGTTTAGAGATAGTAGATACTTGGTTCTATTCACCTCAATTAATGGAGATTTGTCTTGTCACATGGCACGGGGTTACGCGCTAGCATCTGTTGTTGTTCTTTCTGGTGAAAGCCAGTCTTGGTAGAGTCTTTGCTGAGGAAATGGGTATGCCTACGTATGTGCAGAGTAACCGTGGTTAAGACTCATGCCTTTCTGGCATGTTCGTCAGCTACGCAATTGGGATGACAATCTAACCAGGGGACCGTCGAGAGTTTGTTTAAAAGCTCTCTGCATTTTATTGCCACCTTTGATGTTGTATGATTGCATTGGAGGGACTTAATGGCAGCCTGGCTGTCAGTATAGATTTATAACCCAACATATTACAATATATTCTGGTCTAATAGTTAGGAACTGCACGTTGGCAGGTTATCTTAGCTGATCTATTATCTCGATTCCTGGTCATAGAAATATTTTTACTAATGAGGAAACTGTTGAGTAGGTCATATCGGGAAAATCTCTTGACATCTTCGACTGGATTTCTTATTCTTATATTATGTTGTAAAGTGCAGTACGGTCTGCTTAACAACCCAAACTAAATATTCGGCTTAGGATAGAAAATTTTGGAATATGTTCCAAATGATACATTCAGACTTAGTAGTAGAAAGGAAGTGAAGTTTACTTATTTCAGAATCTCACTTTTGGTTTCTACAACTTAGTTGTATTGCTAACTGAAGTGCACTGATAATTTTCTACTCTCAACATTAGAACCCCGACGTCTTTTCATACAGAGTGTACAAACTTCAATGCAGATTCACTCTTTCCAACAGCTGCTATATGGAACTAAGTGGGCCCTCGCCAAACCCTAGTTACGGTCGCCTCTTGGCATGATCTTCGGAGTGTGACTTGACATTGAAAGCTGATCATAAAAAATCAATCAGGCGCTTGGAGGTGGCACAAATTGGAGTTCGACTAAAAATATTTAATTACCGTATGTAAAAGTCGGTGAAAGACACTTCGTCATTCTAATTTCGAGAGGATAATTTGGAAATAAACAAATTTTTCTTTTAATTGCCGGGATGTGTCTTTTTCTTTCGAGCTTCTATAATTTGTAAAATGTCGATCAAAAAAAGGATATTTTAACAAATCCCTTTCTATTTATATTTAATTTAATTTATTTATTTTTTCTAACCAAAAGGGAAATTTTTATTAGAAAACTAATCGAAGTTTTTTTTAAACCAAATAATATTTTTTTATTATATTATTTATTTATTATTTTTTTAATGTTATTTTGAATAACGTCTTCGCTTCATAAAAGTTAAATATTCTCCCGAAGTAGTGGAGCCCCTTGTGGGACCGCAATACAGAAATTGGTAAGAGATATAGAGCTGTTGGGACAAGTTAATGTTGTGAAGAATAACAAAGGAGCACATTGCTCAAGAACAACAAAGTATATTGCTGCTGTAGGTCAAAGTGTTGAAGCAAACCCGGGTTTATTCATTCTACGACATGCATTGGAATTGGGTTTTCCACATATGTCATTGCACCATATTTTTCATCACGACTTGAGTCTTAGAGCTTATAAAGTTCAGTTAGCACAAGGACTCAAGTTGGCCGATCATCAACAACGTCGCGTCTTTGCTAAAGGTGAGATTCAGGCACTTGATGAAGAATGAATGATCCAAAATTCCAACAAAAAATCATCTTGGCTGATGACGGCTGTTTCAACATAGCAAAACTGTCACATCTCGGCTCGGAAAATACCAGATTTATTATTGGAAAGAATCTCCATCTTCAACGCGTAATTGTTTGATGCGGTTTTTCGAAGATGAGGCTGGAACAGCATTGCGGGATGGTATTGATCTGAATAACGTTATTTTTCAAAAAGACGGCGCTACGTGCCACATAAGCAACGACACCATCAATCTTTTATGGAAAAAATTTGCGGGTCGTGTTATCTCTCGAAGATGTATATATGTCAGGTGTACAACTTTGCTTCCGCCGTTTTCCGATACGTGGCTGTACCGGCTGAGGCTGGTTGAAATACATAGATGATAATGCCTTTAAAGTGAGTGTGGACAGTGCCTAACGAAATGTCATCGCCGTTTCAGTGACAGTTGTTCTTGTTTTTGTATTATTCACGCTCGAAAATGTCCGTTTATGTGCCTAATTCTCGCCATTTGCGAAAAGTTTTACTTTTCTGTTACAATTCGAAAAAAAAAATGCAGCTGAAGCGCATCGCATGCTCTCAGAAACTTACGGTGATGCTGCTCTGAGTGAAAGAACGTTTCGGGAGAGGCAAAACCGAATATTCACGGCGCCAAGATTATGATTTGTATTTGGTGGGATCAGCTCGGTGTGATTTACTACGAGCTCTCGAAACCGGGTGAAACCATCACAGGAGATTGCTGCCGAACGCAACTGAAAGCGGCCACAATATCAAGAGCGACATGACAAAGTCATCCTCCAACACGACAATGCTCGGCCTCACGTCACAAAAGTGGTGAAAAAGTACCTGGAAACGCTGAAATGGGAAGTCTTACCCCACCCGCCGTATTCCCCAGATGTCGCCCCTTCTGACTTCCACCTATTCCGTTCGATGGCACACAACCTGGCAGATCAACATTTTCAATCCTTCGAAGAATTTGAAAAATGGATTGCTTCATGGATAACGTCAAAAGAGGACTCCTTTTTTCGAGACGGGATCCGACAATTGCCGGAAAGATAGGAGAAAGTTGTCGCTAGCGAAGGACAATACTTTGAATAATATATCTGTAAGCACTTTTTCGCAATAAAGCTTTTAATTGTGGAAAAAACGGCGGAAGCAAAGTTGTGCCCCTGATATATATAAATAATATATATAATTAAATATTTTATAATAAAATATGTATATAAAAAATACAATTTTTTTCTTTGAATACCAAAATAACACCTCTTAATCGAAAACCCTGTATATTTGTATTTGGAAAACGCCACCCACTGTAATCACATTTCAGACTACTGCTGAGCAAACTCATGAACGACGCCCACCCATTAACTCGAGATTCTCCCTCAAAAGAGAAACTGTCGATGCCAGTTCGCTCTTATATACAAACGCACATGTGTTTGTGCATTCATTTATCCAAGCTATATTTCAAATCGAATGCATATGTGTACATACACGTATGTATGTATTTGAGTTGCCACTGCAATCTAAAGGCACAATATATCATTTTTCACCTTTACTTGCAAAAGAGAAAAAATTTATTTCACCCATTCGTTGGACATGTCACAAACGTTTTTCCCATAAATTTATTGGCACCATTTTATCGGTGCCAAAAAAAGAAGTGCAGTACGTACATACATACATATGAGTACTCGCACATACGTGTATATGACCCTGCAATGTTATTTGCTAGTTTCACTGCGGCCGCTTAAACAGGAGCTCGGTGCAGCGCGTCTGATTTTATTTGTTTGTTTTCATTGGTGAAAATGTAAAACCGTAAAAATGAAGCAAAATGTGGTCATGGTAGGGTGAGGAGTTCTCTGCGCGACACAG